AATGGGGTAGTTGAAAGGAAGAACAGGACCCTGAGGGACTATGGCAAGACCATGCTACTTCCAGTTAAACTACTCATTAGCTTGCACGATTTTCTGGCAGCAGAGGCATAATTGCTTGTTATATAATAATAGATGCCATGACTAGACCCTCTCTGTACAGGAAATCACTCCCTTATGTAGTCGACTCTTAAGGGGAGAACAACCAAACATATCCCATCTCTAGGGCTCATATGAAGGCGGTGTAAATGCTCACGGTTCCTTATTGGTGCACTAATAACTTATACATGGCAGAAGTACTCCGCCTGTGCATGTAGCTACTGGCAGAGCTGTCGGAAGGATTAGGTGCAAGTTCTCTGATCCCAGGACGTGCAGTCCACGTTGAGGTCCGTGAATTGGATGCATGCAGTATTATGAGCATCCAGCTGCTCGCTCACGGAGTAGTTTCTTGGGATAATCAATTCCTGTACTCACTTATACGGCTCAGCACCTCACAACTATGCTAGTTACTGTTAATAATAAGTGAATGATTTGATATAATAATGACTTTAACGCGACACCAGATTGTATGTATCAGTGGATGGCGTTCGCATCTAGCAGTTCTTGTCCATCATGACTTATCTGAACGATGTGGAACATGTAACTGATTTCTTGGTGAAAAGCGTGCGACAAATGAGGAGTGTACAAGTTTGCTTTGCTGTGTTAGCGTGGTCGAAGATTGGGAGATTCTGAACTCCACTCTTTGGTAGATCGCGGATGGACATCAATTTTTTAGGACTATGAAGATGAACTGCGCAGTGTTGGGACTGGCGATTAATTGGCGATCGTGACAGCTACTGGAACGTGAAGCCACAGCACAGCCAAGGTCCCAGTCAAAGAAAGATCCTGTCGGACAGATGGTACTGGACTGCATGATGATTCTGGCCATCAATGATCGGTAGGACGAGGAGTATTGGAAACCAGGTTCCTATCCTCACCCAGGGCAACCTAACGGGGAACCTGGCCGACAATCTGCAAGTATCCATAGTACCTGAACCTGTTCCTTTGCAGCATAACTACATGAAGGAGAAAACCAGCACAGGAAACCAGATGCGTGGGGGAAATCCTTACAATACCTGAGTTCTCACGCCACATGAGAACATCTTATCATGATCCAACAGTCTGGGTCAAGGACAAAATGATCACAACTGGGAAGAACCTGTTGTGCATTGATGCTTTTTGTTCCCTCAGTTGAACCTAAAATGTTGGAGTGAAGCTCTACAAGATGCCGAGAACCTATGGTCTAGATATGTTATGCAAAGATTGATCCTCAATCAGTTTTGAAAGAAGCCAAGCTCTTTGCGCACTTAGTTCCCAAAACCAAAAGACAGGTTAGTAAAAATTGGGACAAAAATGGTCTTCAAGAACAAACTAGATGAAGATGGAACAGTTACAAAAACATAAGGCCAATGTGTTCTGGGTGCGTTCAGGCTATAGTCACAAGAGAAGGCATTGATTATGATGAAGACTTTTGCTCCAGTGGCGTAGACCTTGACAGCAAGTTAGACTCCTTCAGCTGTTGGCCAGCACATATGGAAATCACCTTTCATCAAAGCGATGTCAAACAGCGCCTTTCCCTAAATGGCTATTCAAAGCGAAGAGTGTTTGTGAGAAAACCTCCAGGGATTCGATAAGTACAAAGATTGTCTAATGCATCATGTTATACAAGCTAGATAAAGCCTCTCTTTGATCTCAAGCACGGCACCCCAAGAGCTTGGTATGAAAGTTGTCAAAATGTCCCTTCTGGATGACATGCGGTAACCAAAAGGATGGTAAAATTGACAGCAACTTTGTTCCTAAGGAAAAACGGTAAAGATCTTCTTGTCGTACAGAATATATTGTTGATTCGATATCATATTGGGCCACATTACAGATAGAGCTGAGCCAAGGAATTGCCACGTAACATTAATGGCAAGTGAGAGTTTGATCCATGAGTATTGATGGCACAGAGGTGGAACTAAGAATTCTTCCTAGGCTTAACGATAAATAACAAAGCTTTCCAAATGGACCATGATTCATCAACAGAAATTATACAAAGGAACTATCTGAGAAGTTTAAAATGGAGGACTCTAAAAGACCAAAGACGTATCACACCTATTTGCACACTGCCACTAAAAATTTATGATGCTGATGAACCTGGTTCATCAGTTTGATCAAAAGTTGTATAGGGGTATGATTTGGTTCACTCTTGTATCTTACTCCAGCAACGCTGACATTGTTTCTGGTGTAGGAACTCTGTGCACGTTTTCAGGCTAATCTTCACAAGAGTCTCACTTGACTGCCTCTCAACACGAAGGACTACTGAGATACCTGAAAGGACCATGGAATGTATAGCCAGTCTACCGGTAATCCTAACACAGCTGGTAGAACTTTTGATCTAGGAGGTTAATGCTGAAGCCTGGACTATGCCAGGTTTTTATCCTACGCGGATTAGAAAAAAGCCACTCAGGTATGGCTCACATTCTTGGTTTCATGTCGTATCATGGGCCACCAAGAACGGAATTCAGTTAGCCCTACTACTGCTTGAAGCTGAGTATGTGGCTGGTTGCTTCTTTGTTGTGCTCAATACTGTGGACACAGAAATTGAGACTTTGGCCTATAGAAGCCTGGGATGGCATTACCAACTCTATTCTGTGATCAACTCACTAGTGCGTGTATAAGTATGCACAAAGAACCACCGGTTCATCACAAAAGGACTAAGCACATAGATGTTAGACACCAACTTCTTAAGAGACAACTATGAAAAAGGCCTAAGTCTCCATAGAATTTTGTGCTACTGATAAAACAAATAGCTTGAATCTTCACTAGGGCACTGAGTAAGAAAATTCTTTGAAAGGAACAGGTTGGAGTTAGGGATGATCAAGATCACCTCTTAAAAGGTCCAGTCCAGGAAGCCACCACAAGAAAAAAAATGGCTAGGAGTTCTTAATTTTGTGAATATTAGACTAATTTCTACTCAGTCTCCTACTGATAAATAGTATACCTTGTGACATGTGTCTATGCAATATCACTCAATCTCTACAAATTTTCGTATTTTGACAATTGAGGGATAATCAAGGACGTAAGTCATCCATCCTTGAGAACCTGGAAGAGCGCATGGTCATCAAAGTGATATGCTCATGAGAATAGTGTTATGGTATGTTTCTACTTCTTTGCACAATTACGGACAAATTAACTTATCTCATGAAGCAAGCACGTTCTTAGATATACCAAAAGTCCTTAACAATTCTATCTGTTGGTCAATGAAGCCATTTTCATTGAAATCTAGAAGTTAAAATATACCACCGGGCAGCTTTCTCCTACAATTCTACCGTAATTCAAATTAATCACTCTACGGAGACCGCGAACTGCCTTAAATGTATCTTCCGAACCTCTATGTGAACTAAACTGAAAAGGCTGCTGCAGTTTTCTGAAGATAATAATTACCCTCTTTTAAAAAACCCAAACCACTCATAATCATCATTCCTCAACAAAACCCTGAATAATCTCTATCGTCTCTGAACTCTCCAAAGCTCTTCACACCACCAAAATTCTCTTCAGGGTTTCAGAAATTCCTCACCATGGACAAACTCCCCAAGACAATCCTGGCACTCCACCACCTGTTTCAGCCCAACACCTCATCTTCCACACCACAGTCGAAAACCCAAAACCTAGATGGTGTGCCAGAAATGCTAGCAACGACATAAACTGTAGCTATCAGGTTCTTGAGAAAACTTGAATTGAAAAACTTTCAGTCCAGTCAAAAGACAAGCGAGGCGCGCTGCCCGCAGCGAGACCAACCCTAGGGCTCTGAATCTGATGATTACATCTCCACGGTAGTGGAAGGAGATGAACCTGGGGTTCTTTCTAAAACGATTCTTCTCAAAAACTCAAAAACCCAAAAATCTCTCTCTGGTACAATATGAAAACCTACTACAATTGAACTAGACTTAGAATAAACACAATGATGAAACTGGTTCTTCTATCTTAGTTCATGTAGCTTCAGACGTGCACACTTGTATCTCGCATATGTTGCTTGCAAATCAGACTTGATCTTTTTGCTCTCAAATATGCTTAACTTCTGCTTATGTACATTACCTGTAAAAGAGAACAACTTGGTTATTTAATGGATTAGCAGTTAGAGTTTGATCGAGACTCCAATGCTTATCCGTAGTCGATTTGAGTCCTTAACCAATACAAACTCCCATCCTTATCCTAGCTTAGGATTGTGTTCTCTTATCATAAGGAGACTGTCCTTCTTAGAACTCAATGCAACCTTTTCGATTTCATTCAGAAGATATTTGCTGCGTAATCTTCAAAACATATCTTCCTCACGTGCCTTCCATGTGCAATGGTTATGACTAACTGTGTCTCTCAAGATGGACCAGGTCCTTCCCTGAGTTCATTTGTCAATCTTCAAAACTTCAACTGAACTTGGCCAACAAATATAAAGTTTCTCTCACTAATTAAATTTTGTTGTTCCTTCATTTAAAATAAAGATTTAAATCATCATGTACCATTATTAACATGCAACACACGTTTATAGATACTAGTACATAACAAAAGCCAAAAGAAAACTATCATAAGGCACATAATCAAACATTCTTAAGCAGCTAATATTCTTAGAAAGAAATTCTTTTCACTTTTTTTCCAATTTTTTTCACTTTATTAAGAATCAATGTTGGTCATAAAAATTTTAATTTTCACTTGAAGATGGAATTTGGAGTATTTGAAAAACTCCAAAAAACAGTTTTCAAAATTGTCACTCAGATCACTCACAAAAGTTCAAAAACAACCAAAAATTATATTCATCTCCAAACAAAACTCTAATTCAAATACCATTTGTTTTACTTTTTTTTCGAAATTTTACAATTCTTATGTCCAAACGCCCATGTAAAGCGAAAAAGACAACTGGTCTTGAGCACAATGGAGGCCCAAAAAATAAACATATCTAAAAAATATTCAATAAGAGAATATCGCAATGGATTTTTTTAATTATCATCTAACAGCTAGGAGTTTCGTTTTTATCGAAAAAAATTTCTTCTACCAAGGAAAGTAAGTGAAGTATGTGTAATTCATTTACAAATGAATTACTAACAAAGATGAGCAATAAAATTTGCACCTTTTGCATTTTGCGGTAAACAACTTAACAACGAGATGGCTTAATTAAAAAAAGGTAGGGGTTGATGCCAAACCCTTATTGGCCGTTCTCTTTAGGTTTTGGTAATTTTATTTTTTGGAACTGTTATTTTGCAGATCTAAGTTTACATTAGAATTCTTCTTTGATTTGGTGTTTTCGCTGAAATAGTCGAGGAATAATGTTGTGTAAGTGTTACTGACGAATATTGATGTGTTACTGATTGGATATTTTAAGTGAAGCTTTAAAGCATTAGAAAGGAATGTGAATATGCAACCATTGCAATAGAGCTGTTGTTACTGTTTTTTAGCTCATTATTATTGATTAATGCCTGATAAATGTGCTAATGAATGGATATGTGAAATTTGAGGTGGTGTTGAAATGGCGGAAAGGAATGCAAATGTGAATTTAGAAGCTTTGGTCATTGTTACGAATTAAGGCCCAGTAACTATTTCCCTAGTTAGTACACAATTAGGGGTGTTCATAAAAACCCGAAAAACCGAACCAAACCGAAAACCAAACCAAACCGACCAAAAAAACCGATACTTTTTGGTTTGGATTGGTTTTGGTTTTGAATTTTAAAAACCGATCAAATTTGGTTTGGTTTTGGTTTTAATCAGAAAAAAACCGAACCAAGCCGATTATAAGAGTAGCTATTTCAAATTTATTATTACACCTATATATATGTATATTGTTATACAAAGTTTCAAAAAATTTATGGTAAATGTTAATAGTTTGCACATTTAATATAGTTCTTTACCTTTACATTCTAGTTTGATTGGTAGTTTTCTTTTGTTTTAGTGTAAGAATCCATTCCGTGTTAAAAATAAAATATTTTTAATTGAGTCCTTAAATTATTCATCACTATTTGATTCAATTATCATCAATATATCTTGGTAAACAATAGATTTCTCAAAGGGCAATTGATTTGATAGTGTTACATTGAAAATGTGATCGCCGGAATAATTGTGTTTGGTAGTGTATGTCTTATATTTAAGAAAAAACCGACAAATAACCGAAAAAACAACATAAACCGAATCGAGAAAAACCGACTTAATTGGTTTGGTTTGGTTTTAATATTTGAAAAACCGACTTACTTGGTTTGGCTTTTTTTTAGGGAAAAACCGATCCAAACCGAACCATGAACACCCCTAGTACACATTATAGACTTTCTAGTTTAGAGTTGATATTTCAAGTGAGTTTCTGATGGCATAAAAGAAAAGGAAAGAACATTTCATCAAAGAAATAGAAGATCTTGTCCCTGATAAAACATGTGTTGAATAGCTCATTAATATGAATTATTCAATTTGTAGTATCTGTGAAGCTAAAGTGATGATGAGTTTTAGCTGATTTAATGTAGCTTTATGAGAGTTATCTTAAGTTTGTTTTGCTACGAGACCTGTAGGAAGACGCTGCAGCTAATGAGATCTCAAAGCGTGAAAAAGCGAGGTTAAAAGAGATGCAGAAGCGTCAGAAGCAAAAGATACAAGATTAGATGATTGGACCTGATCCCTTCCAGTTGACATTTCTATGTTATATGGAGAAGCTTGCATCATTAATGTGATTTACTGCTTTATTTGTATATATGTATGATTGTCTTCTGTATGAACCCACTGATTAAACTTTTTCTTCAGGGGTCGTCATGCGTCAAAGATGACTGAAGAGGAAGAAGATGAAGAGTATCTCAAAGAAGAAGAGGGTGGGCTTGGAAATACAAGGCTAGTGGCTCAGCCCTCTTGTAAGGATTTCCCCTGTATTTTAGCTTCTTGCTTACTGTATGTTTCAGCACAAGTATATTTATAGTATGAAACCTCTAACGGACTGTCTCAGAAATGCTTAGATCAGATGTAACCAGAATTGTTAATGTCCTATCTGATCGAATATGTCCCTCCTTTCTAGAGATTTAAAATGTCTGGTTTAGTAATTCCCTTTATCATCCTTCTCTTTTATGATTTAGCCATTATATATATATCTAAATCCTACTCAACTTGAAAAAAATGTTATTTCAACCGTGCCTATAAACAGTACTTTTAAGAAAAGTGATTTCAATAATCTATTTGAGTAAATTTTGTTTGATAAGGTTAGACAATCTCCTCAAACTTTACTTCGCCCTTTTGAAGTTAATTTGTAAATCTTTGGAATTCTCTGCTAATTGAGAAATATTTATCTCTTACACTGTGGAATTTAGTAAGCCTAGAGCCTGCAAGTTGTGTTATTGACTAGGTAAATTTCAATCTCACTCCTGTACCACCAACTAAAGCAATCTAGATATTAGGTACCGTTGGCTTAGATTTTGGGGATGTTCCTACTATGCTAGATGTAATGTGCTTGGTTGCTCTAGAGGTGCATTCATAGTTTAGTTGCTGCATTGAAGGTATTATGTATGTTTGAGGCTAATACGGTTAGGTTATACGAGTATGTGTGCGGAGTTTCAAAGAACTTAAGTCCCTTCTCTACGGTTGTATCTAATCAGCACTTGTTAAAACTGTGTAATCTTTACTTTGTATGAAGTCGCCGAGGAATAAATGAAGCTTAGGAACAATGGAACTCCTTAAATGTGTCCCCTATTGAATAGCTTAAGCTTTTAGATGAGGTGGTTGACACAATTCAATATAGTATTGTAGCATGCAGAGGTTCATCCCGAGTTCGAGTCTGCTGCCACTCAAAAACTATTCCATGTTCTTGACCTAGGAGAAAAGAATTGGGCCTACATGGAAGAGGCATGTAGCAGATCTAAAATAATTCAATAAGTGTGTCTGCTCTGCAACATTTTGGACTTCCAAATGATGTGGTTCACACAACATGATATATTCTTTACTGAGGTTTTCCACTACTAGCATTTTACTTGGAAGTGCTAAAAGTTTGATAGCCTTGACCTTGTGGGCATTCTGGTGGAAAAGATCAAATTGAGTAGTGGAAATTTGAATTCTGTTGTGATTAATGCTTATATTTCCGGCAAACTTCTTCTTTAATTCTCTCATTTCCTTGTCTCATTAAGGATGTAATGGTTACACGTGCGTGTTCATCAGGTATTCAAGGAAAGATGAGGGATTATCAACTTGCTGGTTTGAACTGGATGATACGGCTATATGAGAATGGCATAAATGGGATACTTGCTGATGAAATGGTCAGTGTTGTCACTTGAATTTTTTTGTGATATTCCTTTTTCATTTGTGCTTTGGGCTTTTCGGGAGACACATCTTGATTTAATTATTCCTGTAATTGCATAGGGTCTTGGTAAGACTTTGCAAACCATCTCCTTGATGGGGTACCTGCATGAGTTTAGAGGCATTACTGGTCCTCACATGGTTGTTGCACCGAAATCCACGGTTGGCAATTGGATGAATGAAATCAAACGTTTTTGTCCTATCTTGCGTGCTGTAAAGTTCCTTGGAAACCTCGAAGAAAGGGTAAGCAGTTACAGGGTTCCCCTTCTTTCCCTTTTGTATATATCTTATTACTTCTCCTGACAATGTCGATGTTTCCCTTTCATAGAGATACTTGTTGCTGGGAAGTTTGATGTGTGTGTCACAAGTTTTGAGATGGCTATCAAAGAGAAATCTACTTTACGTTGCTTTAGTTGGCGTTACATCATCATTGATGAGGCTCATAGAATCAAGAATGAAAATTCTCTTCTTTCCAAAACCATGAGGCTCTACAATACTAATTATAGGCTGTTGATCACAGGGTCACCGCTTCAGGTGATTTTTGTCTTTGATGATTTTCTTTTTGTTTAGTAAGTAGTCCTTTTATATGTCTCAATTTAGCCTGACCCTATCCAGAAATGCTTATTTACCTGTCCTAAGACTTTAAAATTGATATGGAATAGTGTTACCTTTTTGTAATTCATGTGGGGCATCTCTTTAGAAAACTAATCTATTTTTTCTCTTAATATATCAGATGTTATTTTATTAAGCTCTCCTATATCACGGCTTCTTAAACCTTTTCTCGGAATTTCTTTATCATTTGGACCTTATCTTCGGTTTTGCAACAGTGAAATGCTAGTTTTTCATCTCTTAACTTTGTTATACTGTACAATTCTCTGGTATGGATCTCTTTAATCTCATGACTTGATGTGCTGGGGTCTATGCGATTGCACAGAATAATCTTCATGAGCTCTGGACGCTTCTGAACTTTTTGCTGCCTGAGATCTTTAGCTCGGCCGAGACATTTGATGAGTGGTTTCAAACATCTGGTGAGTATGACCAGCAGGAGGTGGTCCAGCAGCTTCATAAGGTATATTTGTCAGTAGTAGTTTGTATAATTGATAGTAGCAGTTTTGGCTATGTTGTAAGAAACAGTGTTCTAATTGAGGGGATAAAGATAGATCAACTATGTGTGTGAGAGCTTGCAGTAGACTTGATCTCCATACTTTTTAAATGCCACTAAGAAAAATATTGTTTACAATTTGGGGGGGAGGGGGGCTTGTATATCCACTGACTTTCCAATTTTTGCTACATGATCAGGTCCTTCGTCCATTTCTTCTTCGGAGACTAAAGTCTGATGTTGAGAAAGGTCTGCCTCTAAAGAATGAAACAATTCTTAAGGTTGGTATGTCCCAGATGCAGAAACACTACTATAGGGCTCTGTTGCAGAAGGATCTTGAGGTTGTTAATTCTGGAGGAGAGCGCAAGCGTCTTCTTAATATAGCAATGCAGCTCCAAAAATGTTGTAATCATCCATATCTTTTCCAAGGAGCTGAGCCAGGACCTCCATATACAACAGGAGAGCATCTCATAGAAAATGCTGGTAATATTTTATTTCTATAAATGAATAGGAAAACCTAATCAATTTTTGGTTGTAAGCATTTCCTTATAATGCATGTTCTCAATGCAGGCAAAATGGTTCTTCTAGATAAGTTGCTTCCTAAGCTGAAGGAACGTGGCTCAAGGGTTTTAATATTTTCACAGGTTTTTTATCTCTCTTTCTTGTTCTCGACATTCCTACTATCTTTTTTCTAAATAGCTCATGTACAGATTTTCGGGCTGAACCTTTGCTTCAATATTATGATCTAGATGACACGGCTATTGGATATCCTCGAAGACTACCTGATTTACCGTGGTCACCAATATTGTCTGATTGATGGAAACACTGGTGGAGAAGATCGTGATGCTTCTATTGAGGCATTTAACAGTCCAGGGAGTGAAATTTTTTGCTTCTTATTGTCAACCAGAGCTGGCGGTCTTGGTATCAATCTTGCGACAGCAGATATTGTAATTCTTTATGACAGTGACTGGTGAGGGAGGATCTTATAAGTCTGGTTTTCAGAATCTGGAGAAAAGATGATATTTGGGTCTATTGGGTTTCCTGTCATTGTATTACAGGAATCCACAGGTTGACTTGCAGGCGCAGGACCGTGCCCATAGGATTGGACAGAAGAAGGAAGTCCAAGTATTCTGCTTCTGCACTGAGGTTTGCTTTCTTTGATTTGCTACTATACTGAAATAATTCCACCACTTTGGTCTCTGTAGTGACGGTTGACACATTCTTATTTCAATTAATTCAAACAGTACACAATCGAGGAAAAGGTGATTGAAAGGGCTTATAAAAAGCTGGCACTTGATGCATTGGTTATCCAGCAGGGACGGCTGGCTGAACAAAAAAGTAAGCTTTCATTCTTGTGTTATTGCTTTCTCTTAATTATATTTTAGATATTAGAGTATACTGAATTTTGATCATCTATTGGCGATCATGCAGTTGTTAATAAGGATGAGCTGCTGCAGATGGTGCGGTTTGGTGCTGAAATGGTTTTCAGTTCCAAAGATAGTACTATTACATATGAGGATATCGATAGAATCATTGCCAAAGGAGAAGAGGCAACAGCAGAACTTGATGCCAAGATGAAGAAGTTTACAGAAGATGCCATCAAGTTTAAGATGGATGACGGTATGCACTCTGCTCTTCTTTTTGGCTTGTGGATTGTATCTTTTGGCTCTATATAATTGGGCATGTGGCTCAGTAATCTCTTATGGTGAATGGCTAATATGCAAAACTTCCAAGTTTGTCAAGGAAAATTCTTCTGCTGAGTTCGTAGGGAAACGTTGGTTCTTTCTACCTAGCACCATGACAGCTTTTGCACTTAATGAGATGTTGAGAAAAGAAACTCACATATGCTAAGAATAGAAACATATTGCTTACAGATTGATGTATGAGTTATTAACTGATACTTCGACTTCTCGAGTAAAGAAAAAACGAAAGAGAAGTGGAGATGAGAAAAATTTAGAAGCAGGAGCTTATGTCGTGAAGCAGCTTGATGAATTTGATAAGAGACATATTAAGCTTGAACATATGACCTCAAAAAGGGCCTGTGAACAGCTCCAAAACAGAGGTGTTATTCGATGCTACAAAATAGATAGCTACAACAGAGAGGGGAAACTGTTGGTAGTGGTATTGTGTGGCATAATGGAGAATTGTGGAGAGGAACTTTGAACACTCAGTGTCTTAAAGTCTTTGTTTCTATAGAGATCACAAAGAACCTTACTCTTGCAGGACCTGAGATACATTGAGAGTTATTGGCAAAGGAACTTGCTCATTGCCCTGGATCTAAGTTATTTTTCCTTGATAACCATTTCTTTCTAGGTGGTCTATTGGTGAAGGAGGTTGAATTGCTGAAAGAGAGGTTTTCGGGGTCACTCAAGCATGACATGGTCTTAGCATTGGCACTTGTACTTCTTGCTCAAGCTTGTGTTGGAAAGAAACCTCATATCATCCAGAAAGTTTATAACCATTTTCAGCAACTTCACCGGAGAAAAGTAACATCTCTTGATATTTTTGTGTTGGTGTGCACTGTTGGAGAAAATTGTGAAATAGATTTTCCATTGAAAAAGGGCCTGTGGCAACTTTTGGTTGGAGAAGCTGATGATTGCCACTCATGGTTGGATCTAGACAGTGAGGATCTTCTTCATAAAAGTCTACCTAGTATGACTTTTGTTGTATTACACTCCAAGGATGATAATGAGATTGATCTGCTATTTAGACTTTGTAAGCTTTTGCACGCCTGGTTATTAAAAGGGATCTTCTCCAAATTTAGGAAGACGCCGCACATCAGTGTCAAACTTAGAAACTATTACAAGGACCTTACCGGTTTGATAGCTTTAGCAAGGATGAGAGGTGGGCATATTTCACCTTTAGCTGTTGCAGCTGAGGATCAGCTCATTTTCAAGGCATGAATGAAATTGCTCTTTAATTTTTCTTAGCTTAGCTTAGTTCTTCCTTTAGATTTTCCTTCATATTTTCTGAATTGTATCATTTTCTTTGAATATTTGCTTTGTTTTTGCTTTTCTTCATTCTTTATCACTATGACTAATTGGTCTTTTTTTCTTTCTGTCTTGAATTTCAATTTGAATGGATTAATCCAATGGTTGTGAACCTTAATGATTTTCTCTGGGTTTGGTTAGGAACAAGGTATCATGATCGGTTCAAGCTGATGATCCACGTGCAGCCAGATACTTTCCCTTCATGGATTCCGGTGAACGTAAATGACCTACCGGATTACGACGTAGAGGATTATCAGTCTATGCCTGTCGAAGCATTTGGCAGAGCATACTTGGAAGCATATGGGCTGGAAAACTTTAATGGTGGTACCAGTGTGCAGTACCAAGGCCGCCGGGAGAGGGCAGGCCTTGGATTCGACTTTTCTAGTGAGACGGAGAGTACACCAAGGCAGTGCCAAGGACCTGCCTTGCAGGTTGCTTTTATGCTATTTCATAGCTTTTAGTGGACAGAGATGTTTAATTTTCCGTTATTAGATTTCAGTTGATTGTTTTATTTTCCTGTTCAATTTTTTCAGAGGCACAATACTCTAGAGCATGGAGGTCGTATGTCTCGTTCCCATAGCGCTCCTGATGTTCAGGTTGCGTTTATGATGTTTCATAGTTTTCATGGATAGAGATTTTCCTTTATTAGAACCATTTGATGTTTATTTTCCTGTTCAAATTTTCAGAGGCCCAATACTCTAGAGCATGGAGGCCGTATGTCTCGTTCCAAGATGAAGAGTGCTTCTGGGTCATCATCTAGTTCCAAGCATAGTAAAGTACCAACTGACAACTGTTCTGCAGCAGTAACTACCCGTCAGCATGCTTTGCCTGCAGTAAACAGCACAGTTGGATCAGCATCAGACTCTAGCCAGATTAAGCCGTCAACAGCAGATGGACATCCATCATCTAGTTAGAAAAGTTCTGTTTCTGCTCGATCTTCATCAGTTCATGGATCATCTTCTAATTCTGTTGGTTCATCAGGGAATCGGTACCACAGCAATAGAAATAGCCGTTCCACATCAGCCCCAAACCTTGTTGAGAGTAGGTCTGTTGACTCTTCAAAAGAAACATCATAGGTTGATGATCAAAGAGTTTTTGGTGTTTGTATAGTTTCTCCATGTCTCGTGTAAGGGATGTAAAAAGTTGTCATGGAATTTGAGATTGAGACTGCCATTTTTTTAAAGTCTAGGAGGCTGTTCAAATAGTGAAAATATGTAGAAAGATGATAAGTAGATGCATAAATGTTTGTTAGTGATGGGAAGGCCCTTAATTGTGAATATATGATTCATTTCCCCATTTTTCCAGAACTCTATTGGTTAGAAGAAAAATCAAAAGCGACTGTCTTACTCAGGCATTACATGCTGTATTTCCTCCTCAGCTTGCCATCGATTGTTATTTTCCCTTTTCTTCTTCTTGGTAATACTCCTATATTGTTAATTTTTATTCTTTGGCCTTTTAATGATTGTTAATTTCATCGTTCAATCATTTTTAGGCTTCACAGCATGTAATCCCTATAACATCTATGTACTTCTAAATTTACTCGGATGATAATTGAATGATTAAATTATGCTACGCAATTATTTTGGACTCTTATTGATTGGTGTTTTGAAAAATACTGTTTAGATGCTAATTAATCGCTCTTTTTTCTTTGTGAAAGTTTATTTAGATGAAAAGATCAAGTGTGTGTATATATATATATATATATATATATATATATATTATTGTTTTGTTACATATTGGGGTTTATAATGGGAGAAATTTAAAAATAGCCAGATTTACAACTGGTCGTTCAAAAATAGCCCAATTTCAAAAGTAATAGAAATTTAGCACTTTTTATGTAAAGATAAATCTGAGCGGAAACACTGTTCAAAACCCGAAAAATACTCCAGTATATTATGCTGGAGTTCCAGCATAAGTATACTTGAACTCCAGCATATTATTTTGGAGTTCCAGGATAGTATGCTGGAACTCCAGCATAATATGATGGAGTTCCAGCATAAGTACACTAGAACTCCAGCATAATATACTGGAGTTCCAGCAAGTATATTGGTCCAGTATAATATACTGGAGTTTGGAGCATCAGTGCTCCAGTCTCCAGTATATTATACTGGAGCCGGCAAAGTATACCGGTCCAGCATAATATGCTGGAGTTCATACACAAGTGCACCGAACTCCAGTATATTATGCTGGACCGGTCTCTGTTACAGCAAAATGGTGGCTATTTTTCATTGACTTGGTAAACGCTGGCTATTTTTGATTGACCAGTCCGAAAACTGGCTATACCATGCTATTTTTATGTATTCATAGGATTGTTTACCCGTAAGACGATACAATTGAATTTATAGAGTGGTTTATAAACAAATGAATTAATCCAAAATGATAAATAAATTAAATAAAATATAAGACTTAGTGTTGAAATCGAGATAAGATAGCGAACAACTTGGTTTTGAGAGCAAGGTTTCCGAAGACAAAAATAAGAATATTGATAGACAGAAAATAAAGCATTATTTAGTTTGGAATAATGTGTAGCATAAGTTTGTCAGAAATTTCATGTCTTACAATGGCTGTTGAAGTCACTATTTATAGCTATACCTAGGAAACAAGGTCCTAGGATCAAGTCCATCTTAAATGACAATAATGGGGGCCATTGATGAATATATAACGGCAGGCTATGTGTCACGACCCAAACCGATGGGCAGCGACGGGCACTCGGTACCTTACTCAACCGAGTACCAACATAATGTATCTTTTTGTATCATACTATCATACATAACTGAGCCGGAGAGGCTGCCGTGAAATAGGTAGAATACAACATGTAATACCAACTTATACATAAGACATATGGGCCTCTAAGACCAAAATAACCACTCGTACACTGAACATAGGCCGACAATGCCATAAAATCTTTTACGTATATGACTTCTGTCTACAAGCCTCTAAGGATACATAATTGTCATAAAGGTCGGGACAGAGCCCCGCCAAATCAAACAATACACATCTAAATCATACTGACCAAACAAGTAACTCCGGAGCAAATGGAGTGCACCAACATCTTCCGCTGAGGTGATCGCCTACTTGGAGGACTCTCGACCTGTCTACCGAGACCTGCGGGCATGAAACGCAGCGTCCCCAGGCAAAAGGGACGTCAGTACGAATAATGTACCTAGTATGTAAGGCACATAAATAAGTACGTAAAAAACATGGATGTAATATAGAGTAAATGACTCAACCTGTAAGTCTTGGATAACTCTGTAAATTATGAAATACTTTTAGTGTCATGCATATACGTATGAATGTCATGTTGTGCATAGGTACATGTGTTCATAACATCATCAAGCCTCTGAGGGCATCCCATCATATCATCTCGGCCACTGTGGTCAAAATCATCAACGTATACCAGCTGATCAGGTGGTGGTGCGTATATAGCACCATAACCTTTCCCATATATATATATATATATATACGCGTATATAACGCCATATGGTCATGGGTCAATGTGCATATGTAAATGCATGAAATGCATGTGAAAATATGTTAATAAAATCTCTCGGTACGTCATAAGACCGTTATGCCTCTGATTAATATCATGAAATAAAATTTACCAACTTACGTATTTTTGAGACCCATGAACATATGATAGAATAATATGACACATGGGGAATCAAGAACATCATCATCTCTAGTATTTCTATGAATAGAGTCATTTATGGAAGTTGTGCATATTCTCGTTTCGTTCATGTCGTATAGATCATGCCAAAAAGAAAGAAGTGATAGCCTTAACATACCTGGAGTAGGGAAAAATTCGTATGATATTCTTGAGATGGATTGCACCGTACTCCCTTAGAATGCAAAATCCCGTTGTTATTACGCAGTGCAATTTCGTATGAATTTCTTACAAATTTAAGAACTGCCGGCACTATGAAGTCTCATATGAACTTCAAAAAATCCTTCATTCCTTTTCTTTCCTTTCTGTATATTTCCTTACAACAAATGAACTTGTTAACCTTACTAGTTGAAAGCTCTATTTGAAATAGAGTCTTTGTCTTTCTTTAAATTGTTGAAAGAGACTAAAATCAGAATCTTTTCTATTCTTAAAAAATGGTTGAAAGATACATGTCTATCCTTGAATATAAAAGGCCCTATGTTGAATATATTGCCACCTTTCATGCCATGTTATGAGCCACATAAAGTATTTCAAAGGGCTGCCGCGTTTTTGCTTTAGTCTTTATCGAAAGACTTCAATTAATCCACCACTAATTATTAATTAACTAGATAATGTCTCATTACTCAATAATTAACCAATTACGCACATAATTAAGAATTATTTTCACTTACTTAAAATACTACTCACTTTCACATACCTTATACACCTTACTATCATGGTCATATGGTACCTTGTATGGCACTAGTCCATAAATACCGAGTATTTTAGCTCGGGCTTTTATCCCAACATGTCAAACTTGGACGAAAATTCATTTTCTTTGACTTGCTTCCCCTCTCACCTTCACGAATTTACTCATCACTTGTTTGAAATAGCATAATGCTTATAATCTCAAAATAATCTCATTCCCTAACTTACGTCGATTAACTTACGATGAAACTTTAACATATGAAAATGCGGGATGTAACACTATGAATGCCAAAATTCTCTGCAACGGATTGTTTATTTAATAGTGAGGAATATTCTTCATTGAATACCATCTGGTAGAAATATTTATTTGACCTCGTTAACAATGTTCCCTCCGTCGTCTGCCCGGTGCTAACGAAGCTGTTGTCCTCGGTCTTGGTTTCCACTCGCTTCGTGTCCTGTTTGTCTCTAGTTCCACGTGTCATTGTATCATTCGAGTATTTAATATGAACCAATTTTACCATATACAGATAGTCCCCCTGCTTTCCGGTGGCACATCTTTGATTCATCGGGAAGTTGGTGAAGATTCCCTTCTTGGCGGAAAATTTTCTGAATCCTTCAGAAAAGTTTCTGACGCTTGATTAGATGCATGTCTCTCCGCATTTAATACCCCAAACACATGTTACTCCACGATTTAGTGATATTTTCCGGTTCTCGAGGTAATCATGACCTTAATTTTAGCAGCCTATTCTGTTATTTAAACGCCTCATACTTCTTCTTTTACACTTCACAGTTCTTCAAACTCTCTCAACTTCTTTGCATTCAACTTTTTCCTGCATTCAAACTTTTTTTAATCTTCTTCAACAAAGAACTATTATCTCCTTCTGCTAATAATGGCTTCTTCTTCCAAGAACTCAGGTTCTCTCTTCGGTGGGGGTCCGAAGGAGAACAAAAATAAAAAAAATCACCATTGATGTTGAACCCCCTATGGTGAGCACCATCATTCCTAAACGACTCAACACAGCCAAGGACTTCGAAGAGAAGTTTCCTTTTTCAAGTTCTCGCACTTGGGCTGTTGGCATATACCCTTCTTCCATCCACCCTTCCAGCATTCCTATTGCGAAGGGGGATTGTGTGTTCCATGATCTTTACATCATTTCTCCCGAACCGGTGGAGCGAGTAACCTTCCCTAAGAAGGGCTTCATGTACGTTTATACATACTCATTCACTTTGAGTGTGTTTTCTTTGAGCAGGGGAATTGACCTGTAATTTTAGAGCTGTGCCACAAATACCAGATTTCTTTGGCACAGGTGGGCCCTTCGATGTAGCGAATGGCGGCCTGTCTACGGCGACTCTTCCAGGAGATGAAGGAGGAGCTCACCTTGGCTCGCATGATGAATCTCTACTCCCCCAAGATTTTTCGTGGGGAACCATAAATTTAAGCAAACGTGGCCACCATGCTTTGCTCACCAACATGGATGATGACAATGACCGTGGATGGATGGAGCGGTTTGTTATTGTTTCCACCAGGGATATCATCCCAGCCACAAATCTATCTTTCCCTGAGTCCTAGACTCGTACACGTAAGTTCAAAGTCTGTCTTTTTTCTGGAAAAAAAGTTGTTTCATGTCGTTGCTGATCCTTTTCTTTCTATTATTTCAGCAACTCGGTGGACGCCACTCATGGTTGAAAGCTTAGACCAATGGGTTTAGAAAATTCTGGACATCACCGCGCCTGCAACCCGCTGGTGGAAAGAACTGGCCCCCAAATACGTGTGGAAGGCCAAAAATCATGGTAAGTTGACTTGTGAAATCGATTTTGTCCTCATCTCATTTTTGTACAACAGAAAATTGGTTAACCTCTTTTCTCATTGAGTTTAAGTCTCCCGCAGGGCTCTGTTACCATCCCCAATAAGGATGTTTTGGTTGATACCGTGGAGGCTGCGTGGTTGCTGAAAGAGGCTTTCATCCGGACTGGCGCCATCAAATCTGCTTCATGTGCAAGCGCTTCCTCTCAGATTTCCCGGCCGGAGAACAAGCAACCAAAAAGGCCGCGTTCTTCCTCAGCCAAGGGAAAGAATAAAAAGGTGAATAAAGCCGCGCCCAAGCCATCCGCAGTCACCGTGGTTATGGATGATGATGGGGAAGCCAGTGATGAAGGGG